ACAAGAATTTCTGGAAAACTTTATTACTGCTCTGCAAATAGCACTAATAGAGGTCAATTACATTTCTATTAATTAGCATTTCACACAGAATGTCAATCGGTTTCTCATGAAAGATGCACAATATGGAAGGTCAGAGGTTATAGTGGGTGAGTCAGAGTCCACAGTAGGAGCAATATATCCTAGTAGTGACTGACCTAACAAAAGAAGGGAACTTATGTTCTAGAATTGTTTTTTAATTATAATAATATTTTTATGCAACATATTAGTGAAAGTTTGCTGTGTTTAAGTTGGCTTCAACTTCTAAAAATGATAGTGGGAATGGAATAGAGTTATAAGGTTGAATACAAATCAGATGAATGTTTATAGGATATGCACAGACTACTGGAAAAATTTTAAACTGATCTAAAGCATAAAGAAATGACTTAAACTGAATGTATATTGGCCATTTTATCTATATTGTACTTGTTTTATTAGTTTTTTTGTTGTTTTTCTAGGGATACTTTAAATCCGTTTTAATGTATGCTGAGTTTGGATTAGACAGTGAATTTAGAGTTTCTTTTTATATATATATAATTTGAATACATTTTATAATGTTACCTGTGTGCAAACTTAAGGTTCATTAATATGCCTTGGGCTACTAATTTAGTGAGGGCATGCGTCCAATTAGGAAGTCCTCCACATATGTCAGTGGCAATTTATATCATAATGGAGGTTTGAAAAAGTACTCTTGAAACATATCTTGGGATGGTGTGAAGTCTGTGCATCAAGAGGCATTAAATAGTGGGGTGGAATGTATTTTAGAAGAAACATCAAAAAAAATTTAATTGTCATTGGTGGTGGTGTGATGTGTCTCTGTGTGTGTGTGTTTGTATTAGTACTGTAAAAACTCTAAACATGGATTCTACTATTCAAGTACGTTCTCACCCAGGAGCTGTCTATTGAGCTACTTCTTAATATGCTGGTGGCACATTGAAGCCTTTCATATGTGCATTCATGTGAGGCTGTCAGGTGACTAGCCCACCATCTCCAGTACACCTTTCCTTTTCTGTAATGGCACAGAACCGGTGTTTTCAACTGCCCAGTAGAGAGTACTACAGGATATTTTTGTTTCTATTTTATTTACCTTTATTGAAAACTAGTTTTATTTTCAATCCCCGTGTTCCCACTGACTCCTCTCAGATTCTTCTAATCTCTCTACTGACCCAGCTTAGTTCCCTGTCTTTCTATGGTTAGAAAACAAACAGGCAGTAAAACAAAAGAGATAGAACAATTTCTTTATCCACTCTTCAATTGAGGGTCATTAGGAGGTCCCAGGCAGTTCTGATGAGCCTTGATAGGCTAGGGTCAGATGGTAGGGGAGGAGGGCTACTTCTGCCTGTGGTCTAGAGGAGGCGAATAGGGGAAGAGGGAAGGAGGGTGGGACTGGGAGGAGATGAGCAGATGAGCGAGGGTGCTACAATCAGGATATAAAGTGAATAAATTATAAAAAGGAAAAAATATAAACAGTAAAATCTCTCTCTCTGCCTCTCTTTCTTCCTCTTCCTTCCTCTCTCTCTCCTCTCTTTCAAGTGGGAAGTTGTTGGAAAGAAGGCAGTATTGCCCCACACCATTAACCTACAATAAAATTCATATAACTTTTTCTGCCAAACATTCAGAGGCCCAATCACCGAATAAAATCTGGAGAAGCTAAATTCTTCCCCTCCCTATTTTACAAAGATTCATTCATGGTTTCATCCATCCATTTCATCCATTTATTTATTTATTTGTTTGTTTGTTTGTTTGTTTATTTATATCTGTTTGCCTATTTATTTATATGTTTATTTATTATTGCATGCACACCTGCCTGCCTGAAGAGGGCATCATTTCATATTATAGATGGTTGTGAGTCATTATGTTTGCTGGAATTGAAGTCTGGAAGTGCAGTCAGTGCCCCTTAACAGCTAAGCCATCTCTACAGTCCCAAATGGAAATACTTTTTATTTATTATTATTATTATTATTATTATTATTATTATTATTATTATTATTGATCTTCAAGACAAGGTTTCTGTGTAACTCTGGCTGTCCTAGAACCTGCTCTGTAGACCAAGATGGCAGAGATCTGCCTCTGCCTCTGCCGCTGCCTCTGGAGCCCTAGGATTAAAGGCTTGCACAATCACCACCCAGCTTGCTCCCATTTTCTGTCAGAAATTAGTACCAGCACTTCTTTGTGATCGCAGTCCTCTTTCTTTTCAAGCACAGAGTGATCAAGTGTTGTCAACTCAAGCCTGTGCCTTTTTGTTTTGTTTTGTTTTCTACTTTCTTACCTTTTCTCTCATTGTGTATACCTGCTTGTGAACTCATTAATGTTGGAAGCAAGGAGCTCACAAATTTATCCAAGAAAAGGGTATGATAAGGTCTGACAGCATTCTCCATAGAGATAATGTCATTCTGGAAAAAAATTTAAAGTTGGTCCTTAGGAATAGACTGATTTATTTCATTGTTTTATATGTATATGTGTGTATGTGTATATATATATATTTAACATATTATATAATATTATATATAATGCATGTGATAATGTATCATTCATATATTCACATATTAGAGATGGAGCATTAGAACATAAATGTGAATATGAGATAAGTACTGTTTTAAAATTTCTCTTTTTTTTTCTTTTCCTTTTTTTTTAATCTTTTATTTTTTTTATTAATTACACTTTATTCATTTTGTATCCCCCCATGAGCCCCTCCCTCCTCCCCTGCCGATCCCACCCTCCCTCCCCTTTCTGCATGCATGCCACTCCCCAAGTCCACTGATAGGGGAGGTCCTCCTCTCCTTCTTTCTGATCTTAGTCTATCAGTTCTCATCAAAAGTGGCTGCATTGTCCTCTACTGTGGCCTGCTAAGGCTGCTCCCCCCTCAGGGGGAAGTGATCAACGAGCAGGCCAATCAGATTATGTCAGAGGCAGTCCCTCTTCCCATTACTATAGAACCCACTTGGACACTGAACTGCCATGGGCTACACCTGTGCAGGGGTTCCAGGTCATCTCCACGAATAGTCCTTGGTTGGAGTATGAGTCTCTGGGAAGTTCCCTGTGTTCAAATTATCTTGTTCTGTTGCTCTGCTTGTGGAGTTCCCGTTCCCTCCAGCTCTTACTATTTCCCACTTCTTACATAAAATTCCATTCACTCTGCCCATCAGTTGACCATCAGGCTCAGCATCTGCTTTGACAGTCTATACTGCAGAAGCTTTCAGAGGCCCTCTGTGGCAGGTTTCAAGGTTGTTTCCTGTTTTCTTCTGGCTTTCAGAGGCCCTCTGTAGCGGGTTCCGAGGTTGTTTCCTATTTTCGTTTTCTTCTGATGTCCATCCTCTTTGCCTTTCAGGATGGGGATTGAACATTTTAGTTAGGGTCCTCTCTTTTGCTTAGTTTGTTTAGATGTACAGCTTTTAGTGGGTTTATTCTATATTGTATGTTTATATGAGTGAGTATATACCGTGAGTGTCTTTTTGCTTCTCAAGTGTTAATAGAAACAAAAAACTAAACGTATTCAAGAAGAAAACCAGTAAACTAAGAGGCACTTCTTGTGTAAATGTGCCCCATTTCAGGATATTGCCTTTTGCATATGTGACCTTCTGGGTTTTTTACTCAAAATAGTTTTTTCTCTATCTACTCCTCCACAACCTACTTTGTATCCTGTCTCCATGAACAGTGTCAGCTGAGTTTCCTGGCTCACACTTTCCAGTGCCCCAAAGCCAGGGCCATCCTCATTGTAGGCTTTTATTTTCCTTCCTGGATTATTGACACTTTTTTACTGTTAACCTTCATGCTTCTGTTGTTTCTTTCACTTTGCTCCTTATTCACTATTGACTGCTGGGAAGTTTTTAAATATCTATGTGACCATCTCTCATCTAGTTTAATACCTTCTATTGCTTAAGGAAAGGTTATTTCTATTGTGCAGTAAATTTTTCTTTTATTTTCTGTGATTTTCAGATTCATATTTTTCCACTGACCCTGTTTTCATCACTCAAAATGTACACATTTTTTTTGCAGTCACTAAGCCTATTCAAATGTCTCCTGTATTTGTCAGCTTTGCATTGCTATATTATCTGAGATACCTCTGAAAAAAAGGTTTTTACCTCAAGGATTTGGAGGATCTAGGGCATGCTTTTGGCTACATTGCATCATGACAGATAGTAATAACAGAGTGTATTTGGGCACAGATGCTCATGTCACAAGAAACATAGAGGCGGTGTGAGCTCAAGATTTTTATCACGCCCTTTTGTGAGAAGTGCCAGGAGGTCAGAGGATAAATCCCAGAGGCCTTCTTGAAAGGTTATACTGCATTTAGAATCCACCTCCCAGTATCACAGTCTAAGGCCAAGATTCCAGCAAAGCAACCCTTTGGGGGCAGACAAGTCCATCCTTAGGAAGTACTTTTTAAATGCTGTTCTGCATACCTGTGCTTGGGGATTTTCTCATGTTCTTCTCTAGTTGTATGCTGCTACCTGTTTCCAGTGGCCTCCTAGAGATTCCTTATGACTGATTTTGCTATCGTGTCTTTCACACCAGGACAATTACGCTGCTTTTCTTTTTCAAAAAAAAAAAAAAAAAATGAAATGACTTCTTAAAGAAACACTTTTGTCATTGTGTCTATCTTAAACTCTACAGTGTGTATGTAGTAGGTGGTCTGTGAATATGTGCCAGACAGTTAAAGAATGAACCTCCCAGGTTTTTTAGTTTCAACTCTTATGCAGATACACAGCTTATTCTATTTTCCGATTCACTTCATTTTTCCCCCACAAACAATTGCATAGTAGATTGCTTTGGAGCTATTTTTTTTTCTTTATTACCAATGTTAATAATTTTAAACCAACAACAAGTAAAAAGTACTAAATTATTCAAATAGTTTCAGAACTGAAACAAGTTTGCAGACTAACTTGTGATCTGCAGAGTAGTACGTTATATGAATTAATAGATTATTGAAATACTTTGTGTTTTCCCCTATTTTATTCACTCAGCTAAAGGACACAAAATCAGCAGATCAGAAAACAACACTCCTCCATTTCCTGGTGGATGTATGTGAAGAAAAGCACCCGGACGTTCTTCACTTTGTGGACGATTTTGCACATTTAGACAAAGCTAGTAGAGGTTTGTGGTTTTATTTTAAAAATATATATGTAATGGCTCTGATCTTCAGTTCTAAGACACAGATAAAATGCTTTTTATTTGCCCACATTATCTAGTTTGGTAAAAGTATTTTCATATGGAATATGACCATTTGAAAAGAAAGTATTGGCTATTTTGTGAGTAGTGTGAACAGGAGTCTGAGTTTACTTGATTAGACAAGTAAGATACGATAAGTGCATTGTTTTGTAGGTTACATCTCAGGGGTGCCTGCTAACCCCACCCTCTCATGCTTAGTTCCTTCCGTTGTACTTTGGCAGTGCTTCCCAATCCTATGTCATTTACATGTACCAAGTAGCATTCTTTGTGTACTAATGAGTATCTTCCTTTGTCCAAGTTTTAAATCTGTCTGAAAGATTAGAGCTTTCTTTTGCTGTTCTACTAGACATCAGACCACCAGCTTCAAAAAGACCTTCTTTATACATAAATTACCAACTTGGATTTAGACCTTGCTGTAGTTTTAAACAGAGTTCAGATAGAGCCTGTTGTTTACACTTTATTTTAATCTGATTTAAACATCAAATATTTAGCCACCTTAAAGGTATAGTTTTTACTTATATTCAACTTGGATGTTTTTAAATCCAAATACCTACTTATCTCTCAATAACCAATTTATAAACACCTTCAAAATTAATAAACTCCTTCAAAATTGTGCGATTGCTATATTATTTTTGTATTGATCATTAGTGATAACAATATCAAATAATTTTTTTGTGAGCTCTTTACTTCCTTCTTCATATTGGCATGTGGAAACTTGAAGAAGGATACATTTTCCTATATTAAACATAATATTTATCAAACATGGTTATTTCCTGTATTTTTTCATTCTTTTTTATTATTATCTTATATTAATTACAGTCCATTTGCTTTGTATCCCAGCTGTAGCCCCCTCCCCCATTCTCTCCCAACCTTACCCTCCCTCCCTCATCTCCTTCCTGTCCCTCTCCACTGATGGGAGAGGTCCTCCTGCCCTACCATCTGACCCTAGCTTATCATGTCTCTTCAGGGCTGGCTGCAATGTCTTCCTCTGTGCCCTAGCAAGGCTCTTCCTTCACTGAGTTCATGTCTGAGACAGTCCCTGATCCCCTAACTAGGGAACCCACTTGGATACTGAGCTGCGATGGGCTACTGTATCTTAAACATTTCCTGGCAAGTGGCAATAGAGTTTATTTACCTAAAAAATGGAATTACATGAGATGTTCTTTATAATTTTTCCCTGATATTTAAGTTTATTTGAAAAATGTATTTTCATATGGCCTTTTGTAAATAGTCTAGATTTCTGATTGCAACATTATGCCTTTTACTATCCACTTGTAATGATATTAAATTGATTTAAATTTGTCCCTATGCTACTTAAAATGGCCTTGACAAAAGAAAATATCCAGATAGATAGATATAGAATGATATATATGTTTATAGGTCTAAAAACACTTGTACTTGGAGAAGAGATTAGAGCTAACATTATTTTCTGGGATATTGTGATATGAGCAAGAGGCGTGGAAATGAATGAAAGAGAAGCATTAAAAGAAAGCTTGGTAATCTAAAAAGTACAGTTAAACTACCAAATCAAGGAATATGACTTTCCTAAGGTGAGATTTTTGAAATTTTGTCCTGATATGTGAAAGTGAAATCCAGTGAACATTGAATTAGTAAATAACATAGTGTGTAGAAATGGCACAAAAAACTCTTAAAATACAGAGGGGTTCATTACCTGGTGCAAACATGATTGCATAGTTAAGAATCACTGCTAGTACCTTTAGAAAATGAGTTAGAATTCCCTGAAATAGTTGCAGACTTATTTAATCACTAATTTTTATGCCTAGGTTGTCCTCAAACATTAGCTTCCCATATCTCTGCTTAAATTACAAGATTGTATCCATCTCCTTGTTTTTTTTTTTGTTGTTGTTTGTTTGTTTGTTTTTGTTTTTTGTTGAGATAGCGATTTTATATTTTTCATTGGCTATTGTGGGCTTGGTTTGTAGAGCAGGCTGGCTTCAACTCATAGAGATCTGCCTGCCTCTGCCTCCCCAAGTACTGGAATTTATGTTGTATACTACCATGCCCAGCTCTTGTTTAATAATTCTTGCTAAATGTTTCTTAGAGGGGATGGGGACTTTGAAACAGGGTTTCCCTCTATAACCCAGCCTGTCTTTGAACATACTTTGCTGCCCACTCTGTGAGCTTGAAACAGTTTTACTTCTTTGGCTTTCAGAATATTAGGACTGCAAATGTGAACTACCAGGCCTGATACACTTTTTTTTTTTTTTTTTTTTTTTTTTTTGCAGGTCTTTGTTTGTTTTCATTATTATTAATCATAGTTTATTCACTTTGTATCCTGGCTGTAGCTTTCTCTCTCATCTCCTCCCAGTCGCATGCTCTCTCTCTCTTTTCCCCCATACCCTTTCTCTAGTTCACTGATAGGGGAGGTCTTGCTCCCCTACTATCTGACTCTAGGTCTCATCAGGACTATCAGGATCCTCTTTCTTTGTGGCCTGATAAGCCCACCTCACCAGGGGGATGTGAACAAAGAGCAAGCAACTGAGTTCATGCCAGTGACTGTCTCTGCTCCCCTTACTAGGGAACCCCCATGGAGACCAAGCTGCCTCTGGCTACATCTGAGCAGGGTGTCTAGGTCCTCTCCATGCATGGCGATTCCTGATCTCAAGCTGTACTGTAGAGCAACAGTAATTAGAATGTCATGGTACTGGCGTAGAAACAGACTGGTAGATGAATGGAATAAAAAAGAAGACCCAGAAATAAACTCACACACCTATGAATACTTGATTTTTTTTACAAAGAAGCCAAAACCATACAAAGGAAAAAAGGGTAGCACCTTCAACAAATCATGATGGTTTAACATGTCTACATGTAGAAAAATGCAAATAGTTCCATCTTTATCACCCTGCACAAAAATAAAGTCTAAGTGGATCAAAGATCAACCAGACACACTAAATCTATTAGAAGAAAAAGTAGGGAAGAGCCTTGACCTCATTGGCACAGGAGACAACTTCCTGAACAGAACACCAACTGCTCAGGCTCTAAGATCAACACTCAATAAATGGGACCTCATGAAACTGAAAAGCTTCTATAAAGCAAAGGACTCTGTCAACAGAACAAATCGACAGCTTGCAGATTGGGAAAAGATCTTCACCAAGTCTACATTTGACAGAGAGGTAATATCCAGAATATATAAAGAACTCAAGAAATTAAACACCAACAAACCAAATAATTCATTTAAAAAAATGGGATACAGAGGTAAACAGAGAATTCTCAACAGAGGACTATCGAATAGCAGAGAAACACTTAAAGAAATGCTCAGTGTCCTCAGGGAATATGCATCATCAGGGAAATGCAAATCAAAACGACCCTGAGATTTCACCTCACACCCATCAGAATGGCTAACATCAAAAACTTACACACTTTTTATTTTGAAAACTTTTTAGCTTTTCTCTTCTTGCTGTTTTTGAGATGTAAATTAATTTTTGAATATTCACCTGAGTTGACACATTTGGTAATAATTCTGTATAAATATTCTGATACTGTGTTTCTATAAAAATTCCTTAGCGTGCATGATGAGTTGCGGAGTTGTAAGTTAGTAGTCTGCTTCTGTTGTTTGTTTTTCTTCTTGCTGTCCCAGGGCTTTCAGGGTGGTGGGGCATTTGGTTTCCATATGTTACAGTGAAGGTGTGTGTGCAGGGGTCAGCAGATCCTGCTAATATGTTTCACTGGGAGTGTCAAACTTCATATTTGGAATAATGGTTTTTAATAGTGTAGATAATTGTTAAGCATAATTTTCTTTGGGTTATTTGATCCAATTAATGAAGGAAATATTAGAGGAGTAATGTTTTAAATGAAATAAGTCTGTGTTTGCCTTGGAGAATAGAGTGTTCTTACATATCACCATTTAAAGTTTCCACTTTTGAAATGTCCTCAGTGAGCTATCACATGAATTAAAAAGTACCTTTGTTTTTGAGCCATAACAAATCCTGGTCATTAGGTACTCCTAGATCAGCAGGGGGAACTTTCATTGCAACTAATGAGCTTACCCGGCTGACAATTTTCAAAAACCTACTTCATTAGGATGCTTCTTTTCTAAGAAATAATGGCGTATGGCTTTTTTGTTGTGTTTCACTGAAAATATTTTGGTTCATTATTGTGTTTCTGTATACCATGGTAATATTTCTTTCTTTTATGGAATTCTAAGAGTTGAATATATTTTTTTCTTGTCTACATAATTAAAATTAATTTAGTCTGCGAAGGTTTTGTTTACTAGCTCCCAGAAATCTGTAAAATTGGAATAATTATTAATGTGTCGAAAGTGACAAAAACTTTTGTTTGTGTTTTGGGAAGATAGATTAAAATGGAAACTAAAGTGAAGCTAGAAAATCGGCTTACATATAGTGGTTACATTCTCATCCCGAGGACACTGGTTTGGTCCCAGCACCCACACTAGGAAGTTGAACCCCCTGTAACTACAACTTCAGTGGATCTCATGCTCTCTTCTGGCCTACTCGGGCACATACCCACACAGCCACTCACATACATATGATTAATAATAGTAAATCATGGTTAGTTTGAAACATATTGGTTAGTCGTTTTTGCGGGCCATTTAGTTTTACATTTTTTCCCTGTCAACAGTCTCATTTATACAATACCATTCATTCATTCATTCGCTCATGCACTCAAGGCTGTGCTTAGTGATTACTGTAACAGAAATTGTGTTATATCATTGGTCCAATGTATGCATTCTCTGTCTTCTTTATCTAATTCTCTGTTCACTTTATCTAATGCACAGCTGACATGTTTTCCAGCATTCTTCTCCCTCACCTTTCAATTGCCTTACTTTTCCTTCTTTGTGATCTCTAAATTTAGACTTAGCTCTTGTCTTTATTTCTCCCTTTTTGCTTGTGCTGAGGTTATCCCTCCCATTCCCAAAGACGTAAAATACAACATTTGTAACAACT